TAGCTGGTTCACAAATCGCGCCTATTTTACATCATTTGCTCGCTCTGATAACACTAAATTAAAAAATACTCACCTGAATTAAGTAAATATCATATTTCTGTATCTGAAGCAATTTCTCGCATATCATATTGTAATTCTGCTTTATTTTTCTAGGACAATGTAGGAATGGGATATTGTTTATCAGCAAAGGTGTGTGCGTCATAGCTTGGAAACTAATTCGAATGAATTTAAGGTTGATAAAGTAGGCTAATTTAAGCTAGGATGGTAGTTGTGCAACTTCTCTTCCAGACTCCAAGACTGTGCAGGTCGGTAGATGGCGTCAGCTAAGACGGACAAAATCAATCACAACATGGAGACGCATTAGCTCTTATCTCTGAACCATGTCCTTGTTGATGTTATCTTTTCATTTGTATTGAATTTGTGCATCTATGCTGTCTTTAAGTGTGGCAATATAAGCAGGTAGTGTGTAGTTTTATATCGATATCTTTCTGGCAAATATTATTCGTCGAAGCATAACCCTTTTCAAGCCAATTTATTATGATGTTTGCTGTTTCCGAGTGCCCTGATACGTTTGGGTGGAGAGAGTCCGCTCTTCCTCTGCGAATGCTGTCATGTTATCACGCGTGTACAGTCATTGCTAGTGAATCCATACTTGCTACCTTCTCGTGTCGGCGGTGTTTACAAAATTGTGACGACATAGGTGGGTCCCTAGTTTTAATGTGGTTAGATTTACCAAGAGGAGTTGGAAACCCTGATTACAAACCTGTGGTGCACTTGAAGTACAGGATCCTTCAGGAACAAATGGCGTACGGACTCACTTTCGGCCACCAGCAACCAGCAGAATGCATCTTATGAGGTCGCTCCACTATCTGGTGGGTTAGACCACTTAGTCAAGGTCACGGGCCTTGGCCCTCTAAAATGACAAACTGTTTCGGCTCGGGAACCCTATTAGTATCCCATCTCACCCAGAAATTCGATAATTTGTGTGGCACAGAAATATTGGGGTTCCCCTTTGTGCTAAAATTTGTGTTTAACTAAATAAGCAATGTAAACCCTAAGACTTAATGTGATATAAGTGATAACAACGTTCATTTCGATCTTTTTCGGAGTCTAATTGATTATATGCTGCTGTGTTGTATGTCCTGTCTGTATACAAATATTTTTTTAACAGGATTGACAATCATATTTTATATCTGGTCATAGTTTGAGATGTGTACGGATATGTTCTCCATATTTGTAATTCCAACAACGATAGGAGTGTCTAGATATTTCATGTTTTTTTAAACACTTCAGTATGTCGATTTGTGCTGTTTTCATGATCGGTAAAGAAGATTCTTGCTATCTTAATGATTTTATTTGCAAAAAGTAAGTAGTCAGTCAAAGTACTAACCAGTATTGTCTTGGAAAACTAGACTGCATTTAATAGCTAACCGGTTTTTGTACACTTCTGTGAAAATGATGTATACGGAGTATTTATGGAAATAAAGTGGAAGTTCAAATTCCTAAGCTAGCAATAATCGGAAAGCTTACGAGTAAATAGAATATTTCGTGAACTTAAATTTGAAATAGTTTCTCGCTCTCCAAGAATAAAATTTTGTTTCCTGACTGGTCTTCATTATCTAGATTAATCATTGAAAATGAAGTAATTGAGTCAGTTAGCCACTGTACTTAGCTTGCACGTCTGATATAGTAGTAGTGGCTGATTACTTTAATGCAAAAGTAGGTAGACTCAGTAAAAAGGAAATACAGGTAGGTGGATCTCATGGTGTCGCGGCCGATCGAACAGATAATGGCGACCGTCTGCTGCAACTGTTCTCAGATAACCGCCCATTTCTAGCAAACACTAATTTTAAGCATAAGGAAAAACATCTTTAGACCTGGTGACCGCCAAAGTTGTCTCAACGCTAGACCCAACTAGATCACATCGCTCTCAGTCAACGAAAGATGGGTTCGATAGAGGACTGTCGCTCGTTCCGTTGCATATCATTAGATTCAGATCGTGCCCTAGTGCGAGCGCTTATTTGTTTGCGACTTACTGTACGTAGGAAAGCTTTTAAGGTTCTACTTAACGATAGCAAAGCTAAGAATATATATTTCAGGAACTATTAGAAAAACCGTTAGGCAGCCATGTAAATGATTCCCATCCGGAGGCAGCTTGAATTGATACCAAGAGGGTTATGGCAACAGGGATGATATCTACTAGTAAGGTAAACCATAAGGCTAGGAAGAAGCCGTGGATCTCAGTAGACGCTCATAAACTCATCTCATCTGGCTGTGAACATAACGAAGAGCGAATTCGACTTCAGCGCAGGTTGATAAAAAGCCTACGCAATGATCGCGAACAGTGGTGGGTAGCGAAAGCAAGCGCGCTGGAAAAGGCAGCGGCGATAGGTAACAGTAGACAGTTGTTCCGCCTAATTAAGGAAACCGGTATTAGAAATCCGTCTGTTAGCGAGACTACCTCGGAAAAGGATGGGACTATTATTCACTCTCAATCTGGGAGATTGGATCTCTGGGCAGAAAACTTCAGGGATCAGTTCAACTGGCCTTCAGCCACACTTCGGTTGCCCACCATCTCCAGTCATCCTGAATGGGAAATCGATATAAGTCTTCTGACTCTTTATGAAGTTGAAAAAGCCATAGGAAATCTGAACACATGTTTAGATTCATATCATGCTCTAATATGAACCGCAATTTGTTTGCGGATTACTTGACGGAGAATGGGTCAACAGGCAGAACACTAGGGAGCAGTTCAAGGCGAAGGAAAGCAGCAGGGCCTGATAGGCTTGCCCCTGAGATTTCTAAGGATGGTGGTCCAGTTTTAGCAGTTGGGCTGACTGAGATCTTAGGTAGGATTCGGGAACTGGGAGTAATCCCATTCGACCGATATCAATCCCTGATTGTCCCAATTTACAAGAAAGGACAAAAGTCTTCTTGTGACAATCACAGGGGAATCAGTCTAACTAATACAGTTTCTAAAATGTTGGCCTCAATAATACTCCGACGCCTAACTAGAGCTCGTGAAGAGCAGATGAGAGGAAACGAGGCTGGTATTTGACCTGGACGTGGATGTATAGACCTAATATTCACACTACAACTGGTCCTAGAACAAGGACACTCGTTCCGACGCCCCACAATAGTAGTATTTCTCGACCTTAAAGCCACATTTAACTCGGTGGATCGTGAGGTTCTGTGGTAGTGTCTGTCATTGAAAGGTGTACCAGAGAAGTACATTAAAACTACACAGGCTCTCTACTCAAACGTTACAGGTTGAGTTAGAGCTTATGGCGAATTGTCATCGGAATTCTTTACTTCAAGTGGTGTCCGTCAGGGCTGTTCACTATCTCCATTCTTGCCAAACTTTGTCGTAGGTATACTTTCAGAGGCAACATTATCATCGTCTGACCTTTCAGGAATGGACCTTTTACCAGGAGATTCGTTTGTTGACTTAGAGTATGCCGATGACAGTTCTACTAGCTGATGGCGCTGACAAGGCGCATAGTCTTCTGACTACCCTAAGCAACAATGCAAGCATGTTCAGGATGTGCGGTTTTCCCCTTCAAAATATAAAATGTTGCTTCAGGATTGGATTGCATCGGCACCTGAACTGGTGATAGGGAGTGTAGCAGTTGAGTGTGTTGACCGCTCCACTTATCTCTGAAGTCTTGTCAGTGCTGATGGTCTGGTGACTGACGAAATCTCATCACAGATAAAGAAGGCTTGATTGGCTTTTGACAATTTGCGTCGTTTATGGCTTAGGTGAGATATCCGTTTGCTAACCAAAGGACGAGTGTACTGCGCAGCAGTTCACTCCGTTCTCCTATGTGGATGCGAAACATGGCCGGTAAGAGTAGAAGATATTGTTAGGTTATTAGTATTCGATCACAGATGTCTTAGAAGCATTGCTCGTGTATCGTGAGACACCCGAGAAAACAATGCTGCTATTAGGAAACGAGTGCTAGGTACGGGTGGCAGATCAATAAATGAAGTATTGAAACTTCGTCAGTTGTGGTGGTTGGGAAATGTGTTACGAATGCCCAACCAACGACCACCTCGACGAGCTATGTTTTGTGGTGCATGGGTAGGATGGAAGAAAGCTAGGGGCAGCCAAACCAAAACGTGGTAGATATACATGAAGTCACTGACAAGTGGACTGAGTGGTGTTGGTAGATGTAGGCTACCTGGTTGGGGTCCGCGAGACGATTGTAACCGATGATTAGAGACCTTGAACGTCATGACTAAAAATCGTTTGCAATGGCGCAGGTGCATCCACCCTTTGTGTTCTTTGAAATTGTAATCTTCTGTATTCATCAACACCTCTACCTTTGTCTTTCTAAATTTATCTTACTGAATTATACTTGTTGAATAATATCTTAGATCCGTAATCTTCCCCATTACCACTAATACTTTTGATATCTCTACCACTATGGGATTTGAAGTGATAGCTGCGTCTCTGTGTTGATATTTTATGTCAACTTCAACTGATGAACTCATGTACGAAGTTTTACATTGTAACTGACTCTGTATTACTCTGTGACTGTAAAATAGAGTAGGTTTTTGATCATTGTCGTCTTGTTAGCATGGCTAAGGTATCGACTAAATAATACTTAGTTTTTTCCAAAGAAATTGTTTAGTGTGGTCGATAATCTTCATGAACTGAGGTGGGCGGGCACGTATTATGTTTGTTTGACCGTCACCTACCTTGAGGGAGTATACTAGCTTCTGTAGGTGTAGGTTTGAGGAAAGCTAGTGTAGGCGAAATCAGGACGTTGTTTCAGTTCTAATATCTCACTAAACAGTGAACAATACTGAATGTATCTTTGCTTATTTTCTTCGAACTAATTTTGTTCATAGTTATGTTGGAACAATTTAATCCTTGTTCGCGTTTAGGAGTATTTAGTGTTTTTCAGTTGGACTATGACATATTTGCCTTTTCAATGTGAAATTTTTACCTCTTTCTTTGTGAACCCTTTTTTTTTAGATAGTTCTTAGTTTGATTTATGTCTGACGTAGTTGAAACTAATAAAACTGCTACAAATGATGTTGGCAGACTATTGTATAATTTCTTCAGCCTAATTTATATTTTCGGAGGAGCGGTCCCCTATATCCCGCAATATTTACAAATTCGTAAAACACAATCTGTTAAAGGCTTTTCTTCGTTTGTTTGTTTTGTACTTTTAATATCGAATATTTTAAGGATTTGGTTTTGGTAAGTTTTCCGTCATTTTATTTAATTCGTTGTTTTTTATATGAAATGATTTGTTAGCCTTTATTTCATAAAATCACACCGAAAATTACTGGATTATGAAGTGTTTTAAATTTTTATGATTAGATCTGTCTGACAATTACCTTATATTAATAAGACAACATATGCTGTTTCGTGCACTGAAAATGTGTCTTTCAATATATCATCTACAATGTTTAGGTATTTACTGAGATGGTGCGTCAGTATTCCGAAAAGTTAAAAGATTAATAAAGGCATATTTTTCAATAGACTAAATCAGATAGTCGCAGCTATTCCTCATTCTTTAGTTATTAATAGCGTATCTGGGTGAAGTCTGTTTCAGAACCCTGCAGAACTAGTCAAAGCTTGTTTCATAGTAGTTCTAATATAACTTAATAATCATGTTTGTGCTCATGTATTCGGCTCCAAGCTTGATCCTTGTATCAGGACTAGTGTTGCTGCATGATTTCGCAGATATAAAGAATTGAAATAGGGTTCGAACTTCTAAGTAGGCGGTTGTAAGTTGATTATTTTAATTATTCAGCATCTGCTCCAAAAAATTACCTGACAATTAAAAAATAATCTAATACGTTTGTTTGTTTGGAATAGTATTCTGATACATAGTTTTCTGTGATCATCTACATTTCAAATACTGATTTATTGAGTTACAGTTAAGGCAAACCACGTTCTACCGGAATTTTCAATCGTTTGTTTGTAATACTGTTATCAAGCTGCATAATTAGGCCTTTATTTTTTGGAGAATGAGTGACTTGCGAACTCATTTCCTGTAGTTGCGTCTGTTATTTTACGTTTTTATTTGTTTTGTTATTATTTTCTAAATAGGCATATAATTTTACTAAATAAAAATCTTATTCTAGTTAGTGGTCTTATCTCTGATTTCGAATCATTTGGGGGTTTATGTCAACAATTCAATCTTGTGAGGAATAGTCACTCAGTCACATTGTGTCGCTGCATATCATCTACCGATTCGGGTTTTATCCATCAATTTTTACGATCATTAAGATTTAAATCTATAGTAAATACTGCGTTATATTATCAATTTATTCTGTACGATCTGTGCCTGATTTCCTATTATATATATAAGCGATAGTTCAACACAAATATGTTCTTTTATACTTTAGCTTTGGAAATATAATTTATTTAACTACAAAAGTCGCACAGTATTAAGCGGGAGCAAAAGTACACATCATAGTTTTATAGCATTCAGAAAACACATTAAGGATAAACAATGATCATGAAAACTGGAAATTTGGTTGAGATCATTTTTTATTTCTGTGTTTTAAAGTAGAAAAATCTCCACAATTTCTTGTGGGACATAATATCGAGCTTAATGGAGCTTACTTGCATTATTTATACGGGTTTATTCGAAAACTCGTGATACGTCTATATATCTTCATCCAACATCCATTTTTTCAAGTCATACATTGTTCTGTCATAAGTGATTCCTTTGCTTTAACCATTTATAGCTATAACAATTAATATCCAGTGTTACGGTCTCTGAAAAGATGATATTCTCACTTCTTTATTGCGTACAAAATTTGAATAGTTATTAAGCGTTTATTTTGCAAGATTTTGAGGTGAATATTGTCCTGGAATTCGAAGTTTCGTCTGTCGGTTTATGAATAAAAAATGTCCACTTGTTCGCAAAACAGATGGCATAACCTCCCGACCATAGCTGTTACCTTGACGTGGTGGTCGGGCTTACTTATCATGATAACCCAGCCGAGATATATTGGCTGGAATATATGTTCCTGTAGGCTCTACCATGCCAGGCAGATCGATTAGAGAACGGTTAGACTAAAGGCAGAAACTCAAGATCTGAGCGAGAAGTCTTACTGTTGACTGTATAGGGGTGTGGCAGCAGTAAGGTGTTTCCCACGCACAGTCACCATCTGCACCATCTGGAGGGGTTGAAAATGGTCGACCCTAAAAATGTCACACCTCACCCTACCTCACGGATTTCCGTCTCCGTCGGTAAGGGTGCCCACTAAGGGCTTTCAAGAGCGGAGTTAACACTCAAAAAACTTCTCATAAAAAGGCCGTGCGTGACCAGCCTACAGCAGTTGTCCTTTGGGCTCTGCGGTCACACTCCCAGGTCGTTAAGACCGACGCTAATCTATCTTCCTTTTCAGGTTCCTCAAGAAACAACTTCCTACGGTGTGGGCAGCCGGGAAGTGACATACGCCCTCATACCCGTAACAGCACACGAGAACAAATTGGTGTGAGGAGCTGGGATGTGATATCCGCCCTCATACCCGTAATAACACGCGAGACCGAATTGACCACAATGAAGTCCTTCCTACTCCCCGTAACATCTCTCTTATCTCCACGAAAAACTTCTTTCGCTAATGCGAACGACTCGAGTTCCCGAAACTTTATTCCTGGTCTGCTGGAACCCCATTCAGAATAACGTGGAGCATATAATGTTCGGACATTGTGTCAAATAGGGCAACAGGCTTCCTTAGCTAGGACATTAGAATCTCTCTCCATCGACGTATGCTGCGTCTCGGAAACGCGCATACAGGATCCTAGTAAAATCAATGATTTGATTTCACGTCGAAATGAAGAAAAAGCTCGATTTACTCTTTGTGTATCTAGAAGCGCTGATGCTGCTTCCCGCGGTCTTGCTGGCGTTAGTATAGCATTGAGTCCTATGCTAGAAGTAGCTCTCCTAGATTGGATTCCAGTAAATAGTCGCTTGTTTGCTGTCTGACTTAACGGGACAGTAAGGACTCGTAAAGATAGAGACACTCACCGTTGCCTATTTGTCATATTTGCCTACTCTTTAAGTGACCGCAATTGAGACGAGGTGAAAGATGAGTTTTACAGAAAGCTTTCGTGCCTCTTCCAAAAGTTTTAGGGCTCTGATATCGTAGTAATGGCTGGTGACTTCAGTGCTGAAGTAGTTAAACTGAGGTAAATATATTGGCGACCAAAACAACCTGCTCAGAAAACTAAACACCACCACAATCATCCACCTGAGCCACAGATTTTCTCCACCATCTCACCGTCTGCTGCATCTGTGCTCAAATAACCGATTATATATATGTATATTTCTTTTTCTAGGTTTGTACAGCCATTTGCAACTGCCTTACTCTTTCAAAGTTTCGTTATGATTATTACTATGCTTATTCTAATGAAAACCATTACTCGGTTTTCTGGCATAAAGCGTTCTCAATCTATGCCATATACATCCGGTATTATGAAAACAGAATCAGAAAGTTGGAATGTTAATCAGTTCAAAGGTGAGTTGTTTTATAATCAGAACGTTTCAAAATATTGGTTGTTCGTTTCAGTGATTTGTTTGTCGCAAGTTTTTCTGAAGTATTTCTTTAGATAATCGGCTTCTCGGAGTTCTAAAGAACTTGTATTAGTTATAAGTTTGTTAATGCAAGTTTTACTTATGGTCGAAATCTTGCTTTCAGATGATTAAATACTATATATTGTTCTCTTCTATTGGATTGCTTTAATTTGCAGTAGAGTTGTAGATCATCGGAATATGATTTCTCTTGAGATCATAAGGTTCTTTTTAAATTGTTTAATGTTAATATTGTTTTATAATTTGTACTGAAAAGGCAATATAAGTCAAGTGCTCATACTATTAAAAGCACAAATATGACGAAAATTTTCCTCTAATTTGTGACAGTAAATAGATTGGGTCTTCTCCAAATAATTCAGAATAAATGCATTTAGAGAAATACGATAAAAACTTAGGAGCATACATCTTGGAAATAGGTTAGAAATAAGCATTGTCATGATATCCTTTCTCAACTTTCTACTAATTTTATGTCTAACTCGACTTCTTGGTTGGGTTCATTAGGATTACGTAATTCAATGATCTGAAATCTTGTCGAACGTAGGTTAAGGCAAACGTCAGTGGCAATCTGATCGTGGATTTTCGTCACATGTTTCATAAATATAAAGTGAATTCTAAGTGAAAGAAATCTTCTCACTATTTTTCATTGGACTGAATCTTTTATTAAATATCATTCTTGTTTAATCGTTCACTGATAACACAACTTTTCTCATTTCTATTTTTCCATAAGATTATCAATCTACATTAAATAGCAAGTTCTATCTAATGCTATGTTTTACCAAAATGTTTATGTCATAAATAAAATGAACATTTGTTTTCAACAACTTGCTTATACTTAATATTAAATTATGTGTAGTAGTGGTTAGTTTGTTTTTGCAATAAGAATTTGTTTACTTTATGAATACAAGTGTCGACTAGATGAATCTTTAATTAAGAGTATATGCTGGTACTTAACCTAAAACATCTACAATTAGGTAAGCTGGTTTTTTGAATGATTGGTCGATATTTCTTAGCTTCAGCTATCTTCAAATGAATGTTCTTTGATACAGATGAGTTGATAATTAAATTGTATTCGTTATTTCAGGATAGTTATTTCTTTAGTTGAATTGAATATATGTTCATAGTCTCAAATTGGTATGCTGTTTTATACATATGTTCTTATTTTATTACGTAAAGTGTATGCTTCATCTTACCAATGAGCATTGAATCAGAAAGCCTAGTATTGCTTAGATCTCCTTTTAATCGTATCAGTTCACAGCTCAGGCATGATTTTCTATGCTGCAGCGTAAACGCAAGCAGTATGTCAATGCTAATGTCGTATATTATTATATTTATTCACTTAGCATACATGTATGAACACCTACATAGGAAGAAGTAACACTGTTATTCAATTGAGAACAATTAGAAAACATGCATCAAAATTTCGGCACACACAAGAACATTTAGTTAGAATAAAAAGCAAACATCTTATTATATCGATTACCTAATGCGAGGCCTAAGAGTCTTGTGCCGATGACAGTTCCATTTAATGAAGACGCTGACAAAATGCAGAGTCTTCTGACCCCACCTTAAGCAACAATGTAAGCATGTTCGGGATGTGATTCGCCCCTTCGAAATGCATCGGTACCTGAACTAGTGACATGGAGTGAAGCAGTTGATCGTGTTGACCGCTCCACTTATCTCGGAAGTCTTGTCAGTTCTGATGGTCTGGTGACTGACGAAATCTCATCACAGATAAAGAAGGCTTGATTGGCTTTTGACAATTTGCGTCGTTTATGGCTTAGGTGAGATATCCGTTTGCTAACCAAAGGACGAGTGTACTGCGCAGCAGTTCACTCCGTTCTCCTATGTGGATGCGAAACATGGCCGGTAAGAGTAGAAGATATTGTTAGGTTATTAGTATTCGATCACAGATGTCTTAGAAGCATTGCTCGTGTATCGTGAGACACCCGAGAAAACAATGCTGCTATTAGGAAACGAGTGCTAGGTACGGGTGGCAGATCAATAAATGAAGTATTGAAACTTCGTCAGTTGTGGTGGTTGGGAAATGTGTTACGAATGCCCAACCAACGACCACCTCGACGAGCTATGTTTTGTGGTGCATGGGTAGGATGGAAGAAAGCTAGGGGCAGCCAAACCAAAACGTGGTAGATATACATGAAGTCACTGACAAGTGGACTGAGTGGTGTTGGTAGATGTAGGCTACCTGGTTGGGGTCCGCGAGACGATTGTAACCGATGATTAGAGACCTTGAACGTCATGACTAAAAATCGTTTGCAATGGCGCAGGTGCATCCACCCTTTGTGTTCTTTGAAATTGTAATCTTCTGTATTCATCAACACCTCTACCTTTGTCTTTCTAAATTTATCTTACTGAATTATACTTGTTGAATAATATCTTAGATCCGTAATCTTCCCCATTACCACTAATACTTTTGATATCTCTACCACTATGGGATTTGAAGTGATAGCTGCGTCTCTGTGTTAATGTTGTATGGCAATCTGAACTTCTGTACTTGCGTACAGAGTTCTACATTGTGTATGATTGACTGAATGTTCTCTTGTGGGATCGTGTTTGTTCAGTACTGAGAAGTTTGGAAATAGAATTGAACTGTTTATTGGTTCTCTGCTTCTCTTCCTCTCCATCTTTGGATTTTGACGTGGAGCTTTTGCATTATCTAAGCTATTTCCAAACATGCATTAGAAAGTCATCATACAATTTCATGTAAGACTACTATTCCTTGTTCTAGTTTTTCTTAGAGATCACCATAGTTGGAATTACTTAGAATTGTTGTTGCTAGGGCCTCCATAAGGTAATTTTCTGAACCTCAGTAATGTATTCAAAGACAATTTGTGCTTACATTCAACCTTCTCTGTTAACAGTGATCTTTATACCATTCGTATGATGTAAATAATGTTGTTGTCTTGCCTTGTAAACATTCGTTTTGTCGTATATTCCCACTGATTTATCATTTGACCTTTTATTTCTTTCGTGGTTATCTGAATATGGTAATCTGTTGTCATGTTTGCCGGAAAGTATATTTCTCTAGTATTTACCTAATCATGGAACGTTAAAAAAATTCTACTTTTCTACTCGATGAGATATCTAAAATATGTCATTGTTTTTGTCAGTATCGATTTCCATGGTAGTTCATGTTTGTGAGTTTATTCAAGGGAAATAATTAAATTAGTGGGAATCGTTAAATATTATTTAATTATTTTAACAAGATACTGTATTGTTAAATTCGACACCTAGCATTATTTATATTTCATCAATTTTAATGTATCGTCGTATATCTAACCCATTCTAGTCAGCTGTAATAACGGGGAATTCCTTTCTGTGCTTTCTTATATTGTTTACATTCCTCATAGATGTTTGGTTTCGGAATTTTTGGAAATGGACGCATTTCTCTAATTACTTAATATTCTTATATTCATTTACACTGATTTCTGGTTTATGCACTTATGTTTTTTCATCGAGTCAAATTTATAACCAATTATTGGGCTTTACCGCTTTGTTTATTGAGTCCATGCTGGGTTTGCCACAATTTATGAAGAATTGTTTTAATAAATCAATTGTTGGAATGAGGTAAGTAGTTGGTTATCAAATTTGGAAGTTTTTATATTTTAAATGTCGCAAAATTTGACATTAACACCATTGGGTGTTGGGTCACTTGTACGAAAAACCGTAGATCCTGAGCTCGACTCCCGAATGTAGGTTCGTGAATGTACACTTTTGAAGAGTTCCATATTAGGAAGAAATGACCTTTCAGTGCTTTTAGGCTTTCAGTGGTAGACTATCTAGGGTCAGTTTGTGATTTAAAACTACATAAGCTACTTAATCTGCCCCTTTACAAATGATGTTCCAACAAGTTCGATTTTTTCATTACTCAATCTTGTTTAACTTTGAGCTAGTTGATATTTACTTCCTCATGTAAAAATCACCTACAATCTTATAGTTTAATAAGAATTTGTATAGTAGGTTTCGTAAATCGGGGCAAAAACTTGTTAAGGTAGTAAAACACGCAAATTTTGAATTTTAATGTAAATTAGTTCATTTTATTGAATAGTTAAATAAAAAAATATATAGACTTCTAAGTAGATTATTGAGTCGAAGACTCCATCTACTTCAGTTCAAGGAACTGGAATGTACCATCGGCTGTCAAACAAACGGTACACGAACTTGAACTTAGTTATCGAGTTGCACTAATCTCAATTTAAAGTTATTACTTACTGGGCAATGGCTAGAATTATACAAACCTTTTGACGAACTCCCCAAAACGTTTTGAGTCCAACGACAAACGGAGATCCTAGATTGAATTCTTACAAAAAAGAATAAATCGTAATAATAAAAACCTGTCTACTATAGTTCTTAGAGTTGTTGCGTTTGGTTGGAGGGATCACCCTGTGAACCTTATGGGTCACTTCTGTTGGTGTTATTATTGCAGAGATCTAAGCGGAGTTCCAACGGTAGATGATGATAAATGAAACCCTCGATGCAGCCGAAGGATAAGGCGGAAAGTAGGTTGTGGATCAGTGAAAACGATTGGGTTGGGTGCTGTTCATCTTTCTGCTGACATAATATCGTATTATCTCTGCAGATTGAATGCTCTATTCGATCAATACAGATGATTTGCATATTGAAATTAATTGAGTTTTTGCTTTTATTGTAGAGGTCCTCTCATGTCACTGAGTAATATGTAACCATGATCTTTGAGTTATCTATTAAAGCATAAGACATTTCGTCATTTAGTTTTCGATAAATTTATATTCAGAACTAGTTTTTTGAAATCTTACTCACATTAAAATATGTCCTGTCAATCATTGTAATGCGTTGAAGAATCAATACTATTTCTGATAACTGTTGGCATTTATCGAATTATTTTGTAGAGCTCTACAATTATATATATATATATATATATATATATATATATATATATATATACCGATCAACCAGAATTTTGTGGAGTAGTACATAATTTTAGAAAAATACTGTTGAACTAGTTAAATCTCAACCAAACTATCCTAGTTTAAGTACTTTTCTTTGTTTGGACTCGTCATTCTTTAATGCTTGTCTTGTAAGTTGTTAACGTCATCATTGATTTTGTTTGATTGATTTGTACGTTGAGTAGAACTATCCATTTTAATGAACTGATTTAGTTCCAACCTACTTGTTTTATCGATTACACTAGTAACTCCTTGTCATGTGTGTACAATTTAATTGGTTTCTAATGTTGTGTAGTTGATTACATTTAAATTCATGTAGATTTATATATTTGACGGTAATGTTCATCATAAAGTCCTCGGTAAACAGAACCAATTGCTTTACTTGTTGAATTCAGGATCCTTTATTAACTCACGTCTGTGATATCACACCATATCTAAAAGGAGAATGAATCACTAACCTTCCATGATACATATCATTCTGTTGGTTCATTGCGTTGGAATCCATTGTTTATGTTTTCTAAATTCAGTAGATAATCTGAACTATTGAAGATGGAGACCAGCTTGTTCGTAAGTATACGTAACAAAAGTTTAACGGTCTAGGTCATGATTACATACTGCTTTTTTTCTACGTGATTGTGAAAGCAAATGTATGATTTTATTGTAGGTCGGTCAGTCAGTCAGTCAGATGCAACATAGAACTTCGTACTTAAGTACATCAGTTCATGTTGCCATACCTTATCAGCACAGAGATGTAATTGTCAATTCAAATCCAATAGTAGTAGAGGTAGTAAAGGTAATAGCAGTAATCGGAAAAGTTAGGATTAGAAGATATTATTCAAGAAGTATGATTCAGTGAGAAAAGTTTCGAAAGTCAAAACTAGAGTTGTTGAAGAACCAAGAAGATTAGGATTTGAGAGAACACAAAGAATAAATGCACTGGCGCCATTGCAAACGGTTTTGAGCCATGTCTTTCAGGGTCTCTAACCATCGATTATTATCATCTCGCGGACCCCAACCAGGTAGTCGACAACTACCGACATGACTCAATCCACTTGTTATTGACTTCATGGATTTCTGCCATGTTTTGGTTTGGCCGCCTCTAACTTTATTCCAACCTACTCCTACACTACAAAACCTAGCTCGTCGAGGCAGTCGGTGGTTAGGCATACGCAACACTTGTCCCAACCACCTCAACTGATGAAGTTTCATTACTTCATGAATTGATCTACCATTCTTACCTAGCTCCCGTTTCCTAACGACAGCATTGCTCATTTTATTGTAGGTGTTAGAATAGGCATAAGATAAATTAAGTTTGGATAGATTACATTGAAATGAACTAGCGACGAGATGACTTATAAGCGTATTGAGAAAGTAGTCAGCAGTTATTGTATAGTGATGTAAATTAAGATAATAATAATAATGATAGTGAAAATGCATGTAGCAAATGTTTGATTAAGTCTAAAGATTGAATTATAACAATAATCATTAATTCAATAATTATTATTCACCGATAGACTTTCTGACTGATGATAGTAGTACATGTTGATGATGTAAATTAGTTTGGTAGTTACACACTGACGAAGTACTTAATTGGATAATTTGTCAGTTTAATCTTATTGCAGTATAAATCATTTTGGTGAGTATAGTTTTTTTTAGCATTTTAGAATTCAGGTTATTGTCAGTTGGTTTTTGTACAAGTGTACTATACTACTCGAGGTAATCTGATCAATTTTTTCTTTTCCATGTCTATGTATTGGTCATTGTCAAATATGCTGGATTGATATATAAAACTTGCGCATATCTATCATCACTATGCGAAAGTTGAAATTTTCTGAGAGATTTCCAGTAGTTAATCTGTTATTTATGATTTAATTTACACATGCTTCAGTTCCAATTGGCGTCGGTAATGTAGTTGCATATATCATCATGTATCGAGTTCTCGAAGGTTCCATCTTTTGGGCTTAGCGAACGTGTTCCACCAAATCTATGGGAAAAACGATTACTTTTAATTTGTGGTCGTCAGCAAATTATCTTAAATTTTTCACATAAATTCGAACTTTTTTTCATCATCTTTCATTTGTTTTTCTGTCATTTTGTAGTATTTCAATGGTATTAATGTGGACCTCAGGTGATATATTCAAAACAATTTATTTCGTATTAGAAAAAGCCCCGTTACAATTTCCACTGTGTGGTCTATTACAGATTGGATTAGATTTAGCCATTCTTCTACAATGTTTATGTTATAAAGGTGAAGGATTTATGTGATGTGAATGTTACAATTGATGCGATCAACGTGAATGATGCAGACAGACAGACAGTGATGATAATGAAATCAGTTTACACGTTAATTGTGGATAGTAAAATTACTTTTCTTGCTTAGTTTATCTATCTGAAATATCTATTAGTTTGTATTTCAATTATAGAGATTTTTTCCATACTCGTCAGTTTCACGTACCAGTACTCTCCCTATATTCAGATCTCATCTAAGTGACCTTGTGACTTTGTCTAGTTTTCATTATTATTGTCATTACTCAGTGTTTATATTTTCTTTGCAGTTCCTTTGTATCTTGCCTTAATGTCAACTTACATTGATTACTATGGTCCCTCGGATTATACTTTCTTTGTGAGATTGATTGTTCGACTTACCATACCATATGTGATAATGAATCAAGGAATCTCGAAACAATTAATAAATCTATTGCTTTAGGATCGACATTCTGTGTCATGTGTTAATTCTTCGCTTCTTTAGTCTGCACACTAAACGCCTGTAGATTATTTACAAAGATCACATTCTTCAAAGTTGGCGAATGATGAGTATTTCTGATCGGATGAAATCTATCAATTTAAAAGTATGATTCTAACTACACCACATAACCTGAATGCTTAGATGATCGATCGGTCGATAAATAATCAAAGCTGAGATAATTGATTATCTAGGTCGTTTAACTTACTCACAAATTACATGCATTGTAAGTGATACATTATTATTCTATAGATTGAGTCACATGCCTGTCTTTGTTTATGTGAATTTGTCAGGCATCGAAAGTATACGTTAACAGTTAAATCAAAGTGCAAGTTATACTTCTGATTCACAGTTATTGGTATAGATTTTACCTAATCCATGGGTTGCAACCGATTTGGAAGTAATTAGATGTAATAAGATGAATTGGTTGTTTTGATTTGCTTCTCACTTCGATTGAACCTTGTAATACAGCAATGCATACATAATAGTTAGGATTTATTCAGTTAACTAGTGAAATTTCGGCCCTATCGCCGAATGGAACATTGAAAAGATTGATATGAGCTTTATAGGGTTTTTAAATTCATGAATGTGAAAATGTATTATTTTTTAGTAACACATGTAAGCCATAAACAATTTGGTGAAGTCACGGATGCAGGTCTTCAGTTTACATCATAACTAAACTAGTCAAAGTTCCTTGCCTAACCTGTCCGTTATTTAATCTACACTTTGAGTAGAAAGTCATAATGACATGCGGCATTTTCAAATTACACTGCACTATAATGACATTTTTATAGAGCAAGATAGCGAAAAAGCGAGCACTTAGGAATTTAAGAGATACATATTAGTTTGAACTTTCAACCGTGACTGCATGCTGAGTGAAATAGGCAGTAAAAACAAAGTGAAAAATATGTTAAAAATATAGTAGACTCAATTTGTTAGATTGTTGATTTATGGTATTAAGATAAAGCATATCAAGATAATAGTCAAATACTTGGAGATGCATACTGCGTATGCTTCATCTAACTGTCAAAGTTTATAAGCCTTGATACTACTGTCTAGTGTGTGTAAACCAAAATGGTCAAATTTCGAGTCATTCACCTGAAGATCAGTGAAAGAGCATTCTCAGGAAATTTTGAACTCTCAAATGTTGACCATCTTAAGTCAAACTATTCATAACAGTAAATTGCTGATATGATGAGGCATTCATTAAATTGTTAATCATGTCCACTTATATGCCAATCTAAATAATAAGCCGAATTCAATTGTATGAAATTGGTTTATTGACCAAATTAAATAATCGGTCTTAGGAACAGACTGTTCAGAACCTGAGTTTTGCTTGTTTCATTAAATGAGAATATTTCTAAGGAGATAACTCTATTTATCAATACAAGCTGAGCCCGGAAATACTTCTCTTCAACTTGTTCCGCTTCATAGCTCTACACTAGTATTTAGGTTTTGCAGTGGATTGTAAAATTAATACCAAAGAAATGGCTATCAGTTAGTTTGACAACAGGTACAAAATCAAAGGTAAGGTGAGATTTCACAATCGTTTAATTGTAAACACTGGTTTTAAAAGAGTACGAATAGAAAGAAAGACATGTTTTATTACTCGTGAAATCAATTGTAAACAATAATGGGTCTAATAAAGATCGGACGGTCAGATTATTGATCAGACAGCGTGAGATTAAAATTAGGAATCAGAATCCAATACCATCCAAAAAAGTTAGAAATAAGTTTCTCTTCAGAAGCGTAGCCAAGTAACTAGTTACAAGTTTGGGGTAAGCTGAGGCTGTACAAATGTCTACTGTACACAGAGGTTAGATTTATTAATGCGTGTATTTCTATGGCTTCTACTATAAAAACCGAATTCTGGGAGGATATGGTTAGGTAGGATTTTAGAAATAACTTTAAAAGGTGAATTCATATCAATCTAGTAAACCACTACCAGCAAAATGCGTCAACTATAGCTTTTTTTTATTTCTTTTTTTGTTCCTTGGCCAATCATAAGAGATGATGTTAAAAAAGTCGAGGACACGTTTGCCTGGTTGTGTACCATCAACATCACAACTTTCGGTTGACCAAATGGTTGAAGAAAACAGTAATCTCCAGTGTGTTGATTTCACATTTACTTGCAAACTAATGTTAGTGTAGGGCCAATGATAAGGAAAGTAGCTAAGAGAAAAATGTTTCTTCATTCAACTTCTAGTTTTAATGTCTCAATGGAAGTATTCAGAAATAAATACACATTTGAGAAGAGTATCTGCAAATCAATTGCATATTTTCTGCAGTTTATAATTGTTTATATCCGTCGACTAAATAAGATAATTACAAATTATTTGACTATGGTGTAATATTAGAAACTGAGTAACAACTATAATTAAATAATCCCTAGTAGAGTGTCATAACAATTAGGTGTCAATGATAGGCAAAGGATAATTACTGATTCACTACAGGAGTAGATCATAAATTATTCCTTTTGTACCATGACCAAATTAACTAGGTTAGTATTTTTTCTTCGTTTCTGGAATTGTGAACGTTAGTCAGTTGGTTTCAACTCACCAAAAAAACAAGGCGTATAGTCAATATATTGATTTTCTTGAATTTCTTAGGGGCGGGTGCGTACACGTCAATAAATTGAATTTATGAGCATGAAAGTGAAGAAAAGTAGGTTGGATGACTATTGATTTAATGTGACAGGCGAATCTATTGAATTCGTTCGCACGATTAGTATTCACTTATTTTTCTGTGAAGAAAACGTACATATTCAATATTCTGTTTTGATTGTTACTTAAGAATAGCGAGTATTTGGATTTCTTATACAGTATATTTAAAAATGCTTAACAACTATGAATAAATACAGTCAACCTAATCCAGTTTATTAGTGTTTTGTGATAATAGCGAAATTATTCGTAATATTTTCTACATGATGTCTGAATTCTGTACAGATATTAATAACTAATTAAAAATATTGATTCTGTAAAAGTGTTATATATGCTGTCGTTTGAGTTTATTGTTGCTTTTACAGAAGTTGACCAATCTCCATTAGCAAATGTATACTCCTGAGTCGATTTTGTCAGTAGTATATTCTACTTACAAATTTTAATAGATGCGGCTTTATTAAAACTTCTAACTAAAACGAACAGCCGAGTTGATCCATTTAAAATACTCGAATGTTGATAGTGATTGTTCGATTGAGTTTCAGTGGAAAACCTAATTCATGAACGATTTGATCCGATTTCAGATAGCGTCTGTTGTATTTTATTGCAGAATTCATTTACCTATATTGGCTAAATATTGTTTCGAAATTAAAACTGATATCGTTTTCCCATGGAAACTTTAACTCAAATCCCGAAAATTTACGTACGATTTCATATCCTGATCCTAATTTTTCACACTAGTTTATAACTTTGCTTAGAACCTACTAGTCGTTCAACGTTTGGCATCGCTTATAGGTTGTCTACTAGTTATTCTCCCGCCACCATTTCAACTCAGTGGAAGGTATTGAGCTTGAGTTCCTTCATGAACAAATCCATCTAGCGAGTCCCAAGTTGGACTAAACGAACGCCCTAAATTCTACTACCACTAACGGCTCAACTCTAAAATAATGTTATATCTTCCAAACTACTTATAAAAAATTAAATAGACACATCAAAAACAATTTAAATTAAGTATCAAATGTGCTATTAAACTTGACCAACCAAGTTATTAGTTTAGAGCTAATATTTATTTGAGTAACTAAACAGTATATCGAGATATGTTGCAACCATACTTTTAGATGTTAACTGGAGTTGGATTCATGTACCAGTTATTTTTTGTTCCTATGGGGTATAGTGATTGTGTCGGTAGGCAACTTGACAAACCAACTTTTCCATAACACATCATTTGGGTCGAAGTGATGTGGTTCGTAAATTGTTATGGGTTGAAATTCGTCACCACAATTACAACAATGTTCCGCAGCAATTAGGACCACCAGTTCTTCGTAGGGGGACTAGGACTTCGTATAGATGCATGTCTAGGGCTTTTACCAGTGCCACTATAGAATAACTGTGGCCATGTACAACTAAAGATCAAAAACACCAACAGTAGTTGTAATTACTGCAAAAGATTTACTCTTTTATTATGCTGCTTTATGACTTTCTGATTAAGATAAATTTTGGCGAAACAGTTTAAATTATCTAGAGATAATTTAGGTGTATAATAGGTTCAAGAAGGGTGAAAACAATGATCAAATTTTAGTGTCCTTACTACATCTCTGTCAAAATGGGATGTGATCATTACTGTAAGCATTTTTAAGGCAGTTTCAGAGGATAAGTAACCACCATTGTAGTGAACAAATGATGGTAGTGATTTGATCGAGGTAAGCTTCTTTAGACTCCCAAAAATGTATTGCAAATGTTATTCATGTTTAGAGCAAATACAGAATGCTATCTTTACTTTCTATATAAGGCATAAGTAGTAGTTTAACAGTTACAGATATAGTGAGTGGTACAATTCATCAATACACTAATACTGAGGTTTAGAT